CGTGCCACGCACCAGGTTCCACTGGCTGGAGTCAACAAGATGCCAGCCAGGATGCTCCCAGGGCTGGCTGGGTGCGGGAGGTGGCCGAGAGAGTGGACCCGGGGCGGGTTTGCCGGGGGTAGCGGGAGGGATCCCAGCCCGGGAGGGGTCCCAGCCCTGCGGAGCGGCTCCCGGCACCGACGGCTCAGCCCGGCGGGCTCTGCCGCGGGAGGCGGCGGGAGCGACCCCCGAGCACCGAGCGGGGCTCGGCCGGGGCCGCCGCGATCCCCGCGGGGTCGGGGACAGCGAGGCAGCTCCGCACCCGCCGGGCTCCGAGCGCCGCCGCTGCCGCCGCTGCCGCCGCTCAGTGCCGGCCCAAAATAAAATTTTTAAATCTCCCCAAATCCCTGCCTTTCTCTGCGAAAGACAAGTGCGGAGCGCGGGCTGGGAGCCCCCGCGCCCCCCGAACGGGTGCCGCAGGAACCAGGAGCGTCCTGCGGCGGCTTCCGCGATTTTCGTTTTATTTCCCTTGGCCCCGCGGGCAGAGCCTGGCTGCTCCCAACGGGGAAGGGCTTCGGAGCTTCTCGGACGGGGGGTCGTGAAACAGATTAATTTTAACATTGTTATTTGCCATATTTGCTCAAAGGTCATTTCGAGATGCCGGCGCTACTTTAAAACCGCCTTTGGAAAGGTACGCGCTTAAAAACAAACGAAAAAGAAACCAAACAGCAGCGGCACCAGAACGGCGACAAATGAATGAAAACGCTCAAAGTGCTCCAAAACAGCACCGCGGCCCCGGGACCCCCTTGTGCCTTTCTGTGTTGAGTGGGGAAAATTTTGCTGAAATCACCGAAAATTGCGGTTTGAAAATAATAGCAATAATAATAGTAATAACAACAACAAAACCCACCGCAGGGCAGGACGCAGAGCACCGCAGCCTCGGGACTGACCCGGTTCTGCGAGCCCCGCACTGCCGGCGGCACCGCACCGAGCCCGGCGGGGCAGGGGCTGAGCTGCGGGAAATCGGGCAGTCGCAGACCTTTTAACAAAAACCACCGCAGGAATCTCCGAGGTGCCCCCCGAGCTCCCCTGCCCGCTGTCGTCGGGGCAGCCCCGAGCTCTGCCGCGGCCGGAGGATGCTCCGAGCCCCCCGCGCCCTGCCGGGGTCATTCCCATTTCCTGCCCGCCGTTCCCTTTCCTCTCGGGTCAAACAGCATTCCCTCGTCCTGGTAGGATGGGGAAAGTCAGAGCGGGGGTTCCAATGTTTAGTTAAACCCCGGCGAGGAGCTCAAAATACTCAGTCCTCTCATGCGAGTCAAACTGGGGGGAAATTAGTGGTTTAAGGTTTAGAACAGAAAGCCTGCCGAAGCCAGGACATCCTCCCTGCGGGACAGGCTGTCCCGGGTGTGCGGCTCCGGGCCGCAGCTGCCGCCCGTCGTTGGTTTCCGTTCCGTAACGCGCTCCGGCCATTGCGGGCCCGCAGCGCTGACAGGGGCTCCCCGAAAGCCGCTGGGCACCGCAGGCTGGCAGCGCCTATTTCAGCGCCTATTTCCCCTCCGGCAGGAGCCGGGACGAGGCCGTCCGAGCCCCTTTTCCCCGCGGCGGGGCCGTCCCCGCCACGCCGCGCCCCGGAGCGGGCGCTGCCGCCGCCGAGCCGGGAGCAGCAGGGGCTCGGGGCGCCCGCACAGCCCGGCCGCGGGCAGGAATCCCTCCGGGCGTTGTGCAGCTGCACCCCAAACTCCCTTCCTTCTTTTCTCCCCGTTTCCCGAGAGTCGTCTTCCCCGCGGCTGCTCCAGGGAGCCCGGCGGGTTTTCCAAACCTTCCCCGCGGCAGCGCCCGAGCGGCCCCGACCCCGCGGCAGCCGGCGAGGGCTGAGCCCCCCGGGGCGGCCCCGGCCCGCTCCCTACCTGAAGTAGTCCATCTTGCAGAAAATCTCCTTGTTCTTGATGTAGCAGCTGTGCTGCTGGCGCAGCGAGGTGCGGCACACGGAGCACTCCAGGCACCGGACGTGCCAGATGAGGTTGTTCACCTGCGGCAGAGAAGGGGCTGAGACCCGGGGCCACCCGCCGCCCCCCGCCGCCCCCGCCGCCCTCCGCCCCGCTCACCTTCAGCAGGTACCGGTCGAGGATCTCCAGCCCGCAGCTGGAGCAGACGTTTTTGCCGGCCGACGGCGTGGAGGAGGAAGAGGATGGCGGGGAGCAGACGGACGGCGTGGAAGGGGTGCTGGGCGCTGAGCGGGCGTCCTCCTTCTCCAGGGCTCCAGGCAGAGGCTCCCCGTCGGGCTGCGACTGCGGGCAGAGCCGCCGCGGGGCCGTCAGCCGGGCCCCGCCGTTCCCCGCAGCACCGAAGCGCAGCGTCCCGCCGGGTCCCGCAGCCCTCGGCATGCCCGGCCCGGCGGGTACGCACAAACCCGCGACATGCCCCGCAATCCCCGGTCCCGCGCGTCCCCACATCCCCCGGCCCAGCGGATCCCGGCGGGTCCCCGCAGCTCCCGGCACCCCCGGCCCAGCGCGGCCCCGCGTTCCCGGCCCGGCGGGTCCCGGTTGGAACCCGCAACCCCCGGCCCCGCTTACCATGGCGCGGGAGTGCGGGTCCAGGCAGCGGGCGCTCCCCTTGGGCAGCGGCTCCGGCGGCATCACCTTGATGGAGAGAGCGGGAGAGGGAGGCTGCGGCTCCATGCGCCGGGCGAGCGCGGGGCACCCTATATAAACCGCCTCAAAACAATAAATAAGAACTTTCTAGTGGCCATTTAAATCCTTTGCAACAAAAGCTGCGTCTCTTTAATGAAGCAATTTGAATGTGGATTGAATTCTCCCCCTGCCTGCACTTAACCCGGGCCTCTTGAAGTAATCGCTCGGTTCCCATGCGAGCCAAGGCGCTGAAAAACCCCCCAAACTACCTGCAATTAGAAATTGCCGTAAATGCCCGAGATAAGAGGTACCAGAGTGTCAATTCCGGCTGTCAATCAGGGAATCCATCAGGCCACCCAAAGAATTGCAAATTTGATTTTTTTAATGGTAGTAATTAAAAATCGAAATTCTTCCCCCTCTCCCTCCGCCGAGCACAAAACGCTCCAGAAAACGCCGGGATGGAAAAATCCACCCCTCTGGCGCGGGAGGCAGCGAGCGGCCCCGGCCCCGGCCCGGCCCCAGCCCCGGTACCGGCCGCCGCGGGGAGCCCGGCCCCGCTCCAGCCCCGCT